AAAAATTCATTTGTTCAGAATCAGAAAGCGGCCTGTACAACAAAATAAAGAGATATTGATGTTTCTTCTTTTCATGAATAGATGAAGAGGGGGAAAAACCTACCTAACTTTGTAGTCCATTTATGACTTTGGAATGAAACATATCAAAATATTCTGAACTTCATTAGAGGAGCAATCCATTCCTCTACGTTCATCTTCACAGCTGAGTCAACATTGCTACTGTCTAATTTATCCCATGATCTTTGTATTATGAGATACTTCCTTTACGTAGGTGTTCCCACCTAATACAAGTGGTGAAAATTCTCTGACTTCTGCATTATTATTGATCACTGCCCTGGACAAGAAACACTGCACATACAAGAATTAAGCAATTTAACTGATTTCTCACTAATGGTTGTAAGCAGGTTCTAAGTCTGTCAGCATAGGATTAATTGCTCAGGTTCCACACTTACCATAAGTGATGCTTAACAATCTTTTCTTTGAAGAATAATGGCTTGTCTCCTAGTACGCAGGAAGCTCTTAAAGGCGTCCCCAAAGCAGGGAATAATGCAGTTATCTGATCGCACTGGTATCAATGACAAAACTCCCTTTGATTTTAATAAGCTTGATCATCAGCCTAAATCACTTCTACAATTTTTCTCTTACAGGAAACACTAGCACAAAAAAAAAAAAAAAATGACCCCGACCAAAGAAAAGAGGAAGACGCAAAGCCCTACATCATTTTTCAAGTTAAAGACTGCAAGAGGGCAGAGGATCCAAGGCTTATTCTGGTCAAGTTATAAGCCACAGCGGCAGAAACCATCACGGGTCACATCTTCGTGTTAGCTGATTTACATACATAAGGAAAAATTTCCCTTCATGCCTTCAACTCCTCTATCACACAGCATCATCTTCCTTAGCACCCCCAGCACATGACATCCCAGGTCCATGCCTCCCTCGCATACCTCTTACAGAAATCCCAACTTTATGCTTTTGGCTATGCCAAATCAGGACCCAGTCTTGCAGTTCTCACTCCTATAATTTAAATCACCAGTAGTTACCTGTGTGGTCATCTAGTCGAATCGTGAGGATAGTTTTTGATCTTATATAACTACTGCATGCAAATAATTGCTCTTGCAGCTTACACTAAACACTTGGAAGCCACTTCTGCATGCCACCCAGAAGCAGCTGAGGTACCATCAGCAATATATATGTATTATGTTTTGAGCCCTGAAATAGATAAGGGGGCTTCTGTACCTGACCACTCTGAATTTTTCTTCCTAATAGTCCCCTGACGTATTTTGCTGTTAATGTTGCTCTGAGTTCACAACACAGCAGTATTGTGAAGGAGCCTCCTAAAACTTATCAGATAGCGGTAGAAGCAACAATTATCTTACTTTTCAGAAAGGGAAATGAAATAGCCATAAAAAGAGTTTCACTGCCTTGAATCTAGAAGAGCATCTAAAGAAGATAGCTATAAATGGGAAAGGAGAGAGAGATTCCAAGGAAGTCCATACACTCAGTAACAGAGAAAGAATAGAGGGAGGAAAAGCAGATAAGGTGATGATAGGTGCCTGATCACAACTTGGTGGTGCGGGAGAAAGATTACAGAAAACAAAGGGTTGAAAAGTATCAGCGAGAACATTAGTTCATTCTGCGCCTTCACAGTACGTCCCTCTGAAAGCTGACCTTAAGGCTTTGCAGGCCAAGAGTGAGAAGCACATAGGAAGTGCATTTGGACCAAGGCTGATGACACTGCAAGTCAGAACCAATTCTTCAGGATGGCTAACAAGACCTAAGAATTGCCTTAAAGAAATACATAATCTCTCAAGTTTTGGTAAGTTCCCTGGCAGTGGAAAGGGAGCAAAAAAACAAACTAAGGTGGGAGTTTTCACCATGTGCCAAGATTAACAGGAGGAAAAAGAACGCAAAGCTTAGCTTTTAGGTAAGGATTTTAAAAATCTAGAATAAATATTAAGCAGCTTTATTTAAGACTCAGATATGTCTAAGATGTTCCTATGTGCATTGTCTCATTTTTATTATTTTACACCTGTACCATTTTCTGCCGATTTTCCTTGTCATATTCAATGCCAAGATTTAATACGCTAAAAAAGCCCTATTTTTATCTTTCACTTCGTAACTTTCCATATACTCATTTAGCTATAAAGCCTTTAATTATCTTTTTATTCTCAGTGAATCATTTTATTATTAATGAACAAGTTACAGCCTTTACCTATTCCTTCTTATATGTCAGCTCCTGGGATGTCTGCACATGGTACAGCGTCACTGAATAAATTGAGTTTTTAAGCAGTAAAGTTTCAGTAAGTCAAATACAGAATACAATTATTTTGTCAAAAGAGGACACTCTGGCAAGTGCATTGCTAATTTTTAACAGTTGACTAATATTGTACTACCTATTTTATCTTACTTCTACATGCATACTTTTCTAGATGCTAAACTTAACAATCATCTACAGATCATGTTTTTGCAAACTTTATGAATTCTACCAGGAACTAAGGACTGTTCATATGTACCTGTATCAAAATGCAAGTTTCATCTTGAAGGCAAGGCTTGATTGTCTTGTCAGATATTCCTGACTCCATATCGAGCAAACTCTCACAGAGCGATAGGAGAAATTTTGCATCTCGCAACAGGCTAGAAAGGAGGGTTATTAACTACGTTGATTATCCTTCCGTTATGGGATGGACATAGTATCCCATAAGCAGTTCAGTGTCTGTTGAGGACCCTGATCGCTTGCTAAAGCTGACAAAAGATGACGAAAGATTAAAAAAAAAGGAAAAAAAAAAAAAAAGGAGCCCCTTGCTAGAGGTAACAGAAAGAGCAAAGAGACAAGACTAAGCCATGTACAGAAGTTGGCTGTAAGAAACAAGCCACCAGGAACTTCAAAACAGGTGACCCTAGAAACCCTGCAGGACTCTGACCTTAGCCCAGGGGAATGTACAGAGTAGAGAATAAAAAGACAGAGAAATGTGTACAGAATACTTTGATTTCTGCACTTTCAATACTAAACTACCAAGTTGTCCTGAAATCTTTCCTAACTTACACATTTCTGCTTATTTCAGCAAGAATATGTTCCAGAACAAATGGCCTGTAAACTCAGAATAACCATAAGGTTGGAGCCATATAAAAGGGGTGTGCGACAGGTCACTAGGGAAAAACATCACAGAAGTGGGAAGAAAGAGAGGGAGAAAGAACTCAGGCAACCTAGGTCAGCTAGACACAACAGGATGGCATTTCCCTTACAGGCCAGGAAACAAAATTTGTGCCTACAAGTGAGGCTCTGAATCTGGAGTTTATTCAGATGCAGGGAAATTAAAAATGAAATTGTTATGTGCTAAAAATCACACAGGAAACACAGTGCGCTGAGGGATGCGCAACCCCAGAGATCTCTTTATTAAAGCAGCACTGAAGAGGATATCAAGAATATTTAGTGAGAATTAAGTGCAATTGTAAAAATGATTGGACTCAGCTCCATTCGCACGCATTCAGTATCGACAGGCTCCACGATAGCATAAGACTAAAAGATAGTCAGGCTCTGGAGAAGGAAAAATAAAGCAGAAACTTGTGGAAATCCATCCTTTTCAGCAGACAGTAAGGAACCACCCAAAATGAAGTAAACAAATATCACCTCTATTCAAGGATGATTAAGCATTACGGTTAATCTGAACCTTCTGAACCCATGTAGGATTTAAGTTCAAGAGCAAAAACACAACAAAATTTATCAGACGTGGTAAGAGTTTCGCCATCTAGAGACAAAGTTTATGAGATACAGAGATCCTCGTATTTCCAGTCATCAGAATACAAACTGGAAACATGTCTATAGGTTTTGATTTTGAATGTGACCAAACAACAAAACCACAATGCAAATTTAAGTGTGAGAAGTTAAAGTGTGAACTAGTCTTAGAACCACTGTCCACCGTTTGAAAGAGACAGCGTTAGAAAAAGCTTAAACTGATTAGAGCTACTTCACATGCTTTAGTATGCAACGTGCCAGAGGCACTAGCAGCGTGTCGATTTATTATCAAGGTTAACACGTGCTTACAAGCAATTAATACTAATAGTAGAGAAAAAGAATTTACTGATCAGTATTAAAGAGTCCTCAACTGTGTACGGAAAACTTTAGGGTATGTATGCTCTTCCCAGCTACCCATCACCAAACTCCAGTTCCACCAAACGCAAAATAAAGACTGAACAGTGAAATCAAAAGTCTTTCTAGAACACAGAATATCCAAGAAGTTTTGTTCTCTCTCCCATTAATTAACAAATACATTCAAAGAGAACGCAGCAAGTGGATTTAACTCCTGTTCTTTTCTTTTTAAAAATAAGAGTAATTGCGAAATACGTCACTTGTGCACTCTAAAGCATAGCTCTAAGATATTTAATGTAATGAAAAAACAAGAGCTCTATAGTTACATGTATTCTAAATAACATACATGCATTCACAATTATATTGGGACTCTAAACAAAACTACATTCCTCTCAGGAAATGATGGTGGCACTAGGAGAAGGGCAACTTTGTTTCTCAAGATGGCTATCAAAAACTAGCTTTCAAGTTCCAAATAGAGAAATCGGAGCTTCATCCATGAATACAACATAATTAATTATGTAATAAAACAACTGGGCTAATTGTGCAAGCACTTGTAAACTATCTCTTATGAGATGTTAACTACCCTTGTCATAAGTACACCTGACAAAATTAATCTTTCCAACATATCATTCACGGTTCATATAAACTACATCATTTGACAGCACTAATAACAAGACCGTGATGAAGTGAAGCTACTGCAGCAATCTCAAGAGGACCTCTGTTTGGCCAGCGATTCCTATTTATCATCACTGTACAGAAGTTAACATCTCCAACAACACAGGTAGCACAGTACAGCCAAATCACAATAAAAATCTTAGAACAGAAGGAGATATCTTGCACGTACATCTGGCTCCACCACTGCTTATACGTTAATTTTATTATGCCTGGTTATTTGGGTAATGATTTATAGTCATTTCATTGTACAGTAAATTTTCCAGAATTACA